GTACTAAGTACACCGTTGACAATTATTCATTGCATGGAGGCATTTAACACTGCTGATGGAAACTTCAGCATGGACTAGACTAGCCTTCTCTATTGCCCTACAAAAGAACTATGTGTGCTGTTGTTTACAATATGTTACTTCATGTGCTGCTAAACGCAGTCATCAAGAACTATGAAGAAGTTTACATCTCTCTCGAAGTTCATGTTCGCTGACGAGACCCAGGGGTTTATGGCGCCGCAAATCGCTGTTCAGAGTTTCGCCCCACAGTTGGTCCTGGGTTCGGATCCCATATTTGTCCCAATTATGATCTTTGGTGCATCACCACAGTCTTTCATTTGACGGCTATGGTTTGAGTTAATTTTGCTGAAATATTGTAAAACATTACCTCACTCGTTCTGATGTAACTAGCGTTCCACGTCATTGAAGGTATTTTGTCAGTCTATTAAGCGTAGTATAAATGTAATTTTAGTTTCCTACCACCTATCGCCAGAGACTAATGGTTTGGTTTAAATCCTTCTGAGGTATCATGCAAGGAGCAGATAAACGGAAATATAAGTCCTAAAGGTCGCAAGTATGGTCACTTTGCTTGCTGATGATGAAAAGCCCATTTTTATGTATACTTGTCTTACGTACAATTCTGTCATAATCTAGTTGTTTAGTATCCTTTGTAGATATTATACAAACAATTACTCTTGACGAGGTCAATATTAGCGAATTCGTCAAAAGTAATAATTCGTTGTGTTATACCAAAATTCACTTCAAAGTTTATGCAGCATTTAAGCCCTAGGCCTCCTGTGTTTCATTACAGTAACTTAGCTCAGTATTCGAGGTCAGCGTCAGTCACGTTAGTGGGGGGTCTACATTGACATGTGTTGTTTCGTCTCGTTGTACGGATTAACCAATGGAATCGCAAGATTCTTCCAAATTCTAAAATTAATGTATTCTGGTCCTTCACTCTAATGTAACCCTCCCGTGTAATAGGCACATAACTTAATGTACACAATTCTGCATAAAACTGTTGCAGGTTGAGGAACTGGGGCTGCTACGCAGAGTTCCATCCCTTAGGCGTACCAGGATCTTGGATTCAAATCCTTGTAAACGCCCTGATTATTATTCTTGGTTTGCCAGCATCTTACCCTTGCCAGTGGGTTACAACAATTGAAAAAGGTTTGCCAAATGGTAAAGAAGAAGTGACACTGTTTACAACGGCGTAAACCCATCTCCCTCACTCATTCCCTCATCCACTCAATCACTCATGGATGGCCTCCGTAGTTTTATGATAGAGCGTCCGCCCGGACAGCGGAAGGTCCGGGGTTCGATCCCCGGCCGCGGCATACCACACGACGTTAAAGATGGTACTTTTTCACCTTCCTGGCGCTCGGTATTGAGGGGATAAAACAAGGAGTGGTCGGCATGTACTGTGTCTGAGTAAGGTATTCATTTAAACTGCGGCATGATATCTCAGTGGGCTAGCACTCTAAAACGGCATTGGTCCGTACTAGCACAAGCAACCACACACACAAACACACAAACGTGCATGCACGTCGCTATTTTAGTGCAATAATCTTCGACGCGACGTTAAATCCCATTTCACCTCACCTCACCTCACCTCACCTCACCTCACCTCACCTCACCTCACCTCAATCACTCATGGCGTCTGTATCCGTTGATACTGACCGTTGCTAGCTCATTGCAAGTGACAACGGCAACCATTCTAATAGAGATTGACGTGTAGGTATGGCACCGCGTTAATGCCAACACAAAACCGATAACATCAAAGCATAAAATGTTACAATGCATTATGACACTCCCCGTGATAATGAATGTAATGCGATAACTTATTCCGACATATAATTAGTTTTAGGGAGAAGCCTGGTGAGTAAATACATTTTGTTATTCAAGTTATTTGTCCATGCTAATTGTTGTCCTTCCTGAGAATAGTGATGACTTCATTTTGCTGTAGACATGCCCATTAAGCATGTCCGGCATGAATAAATTCGTAGGAGTAATCACATATTATGTCAGTACATGCATGTACAGCCCTTCTTACTACGCATACCACTACCATTATCACACCGCGTTCTGGTAGTTAGAATCAGGAGGTCATTGCATAGTCTTGAGGAGTGGGGGTAGGACTTTTTGTGTCTGTCATGTCGTCACCACTTTTTACTGCTTCAATAGCTGACCATTATTGTAACTGTCTATCAAATGCGCCCATAAATTATGATAACGTGTTAAAAAATCATATTTTCACCATCAGTAATGACACTATAAAGTGTGTTTGGTATGTCCGTTATATGATCGTAAATAATCGAGTTCAGTGACCACACGATCTGTTTGTCGACAAGCATAGGTTGCTGAGGACATATTCTAACACGAGGGCACACTAAAGACATTTTGAAAAAAGAGGAGCTTTAGTAGCCTTGTAGTTAAACTGTACTCAATCTCTTGAAACAATATCTCCAAGTAATGTTCACATGTTATAATGCTAGATGAAGTTGTATTGACATCGGTAATACTTGAACCATTTCCAAAACTTTCGGATAATTTGATTAAATTGTCTTGTCCTCACTTTAATAAGCTTTAAATTTAAATCATAGAGGGTTTTTTCAACACATGAATTCACAAGCTTCGCTGAGATCACACTTCGGAGTGAGTACTAAATGTAAGATCGTACAAACACATATGTTTTGTGTTGACCAAAGGTGACTACGTTGGATTGGGTGGTGAGGCGTTTATAAGTCTCATAAGCTGAATTTGACTTGTGAACATTATATTTTAGATATTAATATTTGTGAGTATAAACGACTGCTAACTAAATTTAGAAGCGGCCACAACACCCTTGGTATCCAGTTGGTTCGTAGAGATTTAGTGTGCTGTGGTGACCAAACTGCTTTGTGCAAGCGTCGTAATGTAATCGAAGGCGAAATACATGTTAGATACCAATGCGTGCTCTACGATAGTGAGCGAAAATATTTCATTCCCAAAACTGTAAGTGATAACTATTATTCATTACAAAGAATATGTCAGTCAACAAATGTTAATGTCATGTGAAACTCTGCCAGGTTCCTGAATTGTATCTTCACGGGAAGATAGAGATAGAGAAATAACTCTCTGTAAAACGGTACTTGTAAACCTTTTTGTACTATAGATCTGATGGCCTTCATACAAATAAAACTGTCTGTCTGTCTGTCTGTCTGTCTGTCTGTCTGTAAGGCGTTTGACTTTCAATTAGTTGAATATATATCATCGTAACCCGAAAGCGTTGGATAGTGGCTCATAATGGTTTGTCTAGTTCAGTCTTGATTATATCAATATCTCTCTGATCAAGCTAGAATATTGTTGACTGTTACGGCGTTAAACAATATTCAATCACTCACAGACTTTTTTACATGCCTCCATCAACTGGAATATTGTTGACTCCGGCGTTAAACATTATTCATCAACTCACTTGCTTATCTCTAAAACAAAGCTGGAATGTTAACTGCAAATACCAACATAGATCATCCACAACTGGCATATCGCTACAATTTATTTGCATCACAATGTTTTGCAGACAATTTGGATGTCATCGACTACCATGACGTCACAGCAAAATGACATCACTTATGTCCGTCACTAAAACTAGTCAGCTGTACTTTATACGGCCAAGACACTGGTTATTACAGTCAGCAAACTAAACACTTTGTTTATTAGGATAATAGGTTGATTTTGGATGATAATCTCACCCTCGTGTCTTTTGATATCAAATATATCAAAATTTGACGATGAAAGTTCACAATTCTCGACAAGCCTCGGAGTTTAAACTTATATCGACTCGTGTTTATATAGTTGGTATCAAAAGACACGATGCTGAGGTTCTCTATATACGTTGTTGCCATTGATTAGACCTCACTCTCGCCAGTCACATCAGTGTGAATGCTTCACCACAGTCCGGTTTTGGTGTCCACGCTATGACGTTGCAACGTTCGTGAAGTGCTCCTTACTTTATTGTATTGTATATAGGTGGATTTACGGTGTTCCCGACTACGATATGGGTACAATTATTAATTCTGCATTGTTTCTTATTGTTAGTTATTGAATCTAGCTATCTGATTGGTCAGTCATGACTTCAAGAATTATATTCCAGAAAACACTCCGGCGAAGTTATGACTCAGTAGTACACACACAGACACAAGATAATTTGCAGTGACCGGACTTTTCTCTCGTTTATAAACAAACGTGCTTATTCCGAAATCAGAGCAAACTGGCCTAATGTAGCTTTTCAGTGCACTTTACATATTGTTTTGCATATTTTATAAATATGCTGCAGCAAACGCACCAGTGAGCAGCATGATAGTGCATCTTTACACATGAAAGTGACTGTATCGCTGTCTCTGCCTTAAGAAATATGACGTCTACACTTATAACCAATTTAAACAAAGGAAAAATACTCAAATGGAAATAATCGTTTCACGTTTTAGGATAATTTCTCAATGAAAGTTAACCATTTCATGACATATGTTAATTAAATGTATTGTCTTTTCAAAATAATAACAGATAACAAACATTTTTTATGTATTTTGTTGAATATACTTTGTAAGATGTGATGATTCGTCACGTCTCGCTGGACTGGGGCACTCCCAGGCTGACCGCTAGGACCTCTAGGTAGGAACGTGAGCAAAGTAACTATTTTATTATCTTTTTACATGAAATATGAATATAAAAATAATTCAAAACATAGAAGGCATACCCGTTGTCTACGTACATTTTATCCCTTTATCTACATGATTACACTCCCTTACATGAAAGAAATTCCTTAAACGTTTTGAAATAAGCAGACATGAAGCGCCATAATTATAACAGCAACTATGCATTTGCATAAAAGATCATTTCTAACCAACCAATTAAACAGCGATCTCTTGACATACGGGGTGATAATTAAATGGTGAATCATGTGGCATTTTTCTCCTCCGCGTTGATATAAGGTGGATTCAGATAGGGACATAATAACAGATCGCTGCGCCAAGCACAGGAACAGCTTTGACACTAAACACAGGGCGTCGTTGTATTCCCTTGCAAATTGACGAGAAGCGAAGGATGTGCACGATGCTGAAATTTTTTGCAGCGTTATCACTGTGCTGTGTGGTAAGAGCAAACCTCTTATTGTTTATGTTTTTAATGGACAAGAGATTGTTTTCTAGTTTAAAGATCATATCTTTAGCTCAACTGGTCTGAAAGGCTGTGTGAGATTATGATGTGGCAGGTCATCTGTCGTCCGTCTGTGAAATTGTATTTTCGAATTTCGAATTCAGCACCGTTTTTTGTGGATATTTGTAAGTGATTGCGTGAGATGGGTTTAACGCCGTTTTGAACAGTATTCCAGTTATATCATGGCGTATAAGCTTAATGTGGGAGGAAAGTCCGAAGTGATGCAGGTCTCACACGTTCACCACTTTGGTGAACCCACGAGCAAACTTGTACAATATGAGCTACACAACCTTTAATGCTCTGTCTGTTTTTAGACAAGCAGCTCTATTGAACATATGAGTTGGGGGACATTTAAGTACAAGACAGACTGTACCAGTTCATGTTCACAATAGAGATATCAATCAGTATTACCATAATCGTTAGCGGTTATTAATCTAGAAAGATGATGATTGGTTAATTTATAGTATAAACATTTACACGGAATTTACTGTATACCTTACCACTGTCCACAATATCCTTAATATGAATGTATATACTGTAATTTCTTCACTCGGTGATTGTGTTGAATCAGTTTCATCTGTATCACTTCTGTAAGATAAACATAACATTAATATACTTACCTTTGCTTTACAGGTTCATTTTGTGGAGGGTAAGTACATTTATCAATTTGAAAAAAATATGTCTTCATTAAGATCCATCCTCGATTACATTTGATTAGAAATAGGTATTGTTGGATACAGTGAAACACATTATTTTCAGAACGGTTCTGTTCGCAGTAAAATGGAACAACAATTGTCTTATTTCATATATTCACAGTAAAATGGAACAACACTTGTCTAATTTCATATATACCTTTAATAATTATGTACACGTTCCGACAGTTACAGCTTGGCACGGATTTTATCGAAAAGAATTAATTGTCCCAGAAGATTTTTGAAAAAATAATTGTGCTTCTGAAAGTGTCAGCCAAAATATCACATCATAGTTTTTGCATTTGTAGTTGTTAAAATATCTGGTCTCCACATAAAATCCCAGGCCCCCTAGAATGTCAAATGGTCGGACCCGAGCTTACATGTATAATACAGCATGCCACGGTAGACTTATCAAGGAAGACAAAACTCTTAAAGTATAAGTATATAGATCTACATTAATACTATATGTAACTGTCCGAACACAAATAACTGCTGAACCGCTTGCTCTCTGATAGCTGACACGACAGATCAGAACAATTAATATGTAATTGTGTCCGATTGGCTCCAAGATCAGACCAGAACCTTTGCAGGAACCTGCCAGTTATTAGATCCAATCAGTACAGTATTACCATATTATAATGAAACAACTACTTTAAAGGACAATTAAGGTCATACGAATTATAAATAATTGCTGTCGTGTTTGTTCAAAGCATAGCCTATTATTCCTATAACGACGGAGGATGACTTAATGTCATATGATAATCGATTTCGATTTCTGTATTTCAATATGAGTATGTAACTTTTTACATCTCGAGATGTACATATTGTTAGGCTTCTGATAAGGGAAAATAAAAAAATAAATATTTTGGCGTAAAAGATTGCATGGGATTTAAGTGATTATTTTTGGCCTCAAATGAATTCTTGAATGAATTCTTCAAATGAGCCATTGCCTTTTACAGTAAAACTTCCTTAACAGGTGAGTGATAGCTCGAACTATCTTCAGTTGTAATGTCTCTATTCATACTCTATAAAAATGGGGCGGTCGGGTAGCCTTGTGGTTAAAGCGTTCGTTTGTCACGCCGAAGACCCGGTTCGATTCCCGACATTGGTACAATGTGTGAAGCCCATTTCTGGTGTCCTCCGCCGTGATATTGTGGAATATTTCTAAAAGCGGCGTAAAACGAAACTCACTATCGCACTCACTATAAAAATGAATATAACAAACGTTCACTTGTTCCTTTTGTCTTCTTACGTCTCTAGCACCCTAGGGATATGAAGACCAGGGGGTCACAATGTGTCTCCTGGCTGAATGTGTGGCATCATACCGCGACGGCGTGGATTGTTGCTCAATTTATCCACCACTGATTGTCCACAGGCGGGCGTGGTATAAGATATTCACACATGCCCTTCTTATATGTTGACAGAATGCTTACCGCCTTAGTAAGTTATAAACGCCCTCGTCCAGTGTCAGAATACAATACACTGTCAAATGAGGGTAAATGCTATGTACTGACGTGTTCACATGCATACTTAGTAATGGTAAATTTACCAGCCTTGAAGATACACAAGTTTCACATATAATATATATATATATTGGCGTCAATCAAGCACAGTCTTTTGTGAACAAACAGTGTAGCCTTATTGCTGCAAACAGAAACAGCATTGAAATTGAACAAAACCAAATCAATTTGTGACTATCATGCAAAGTAATTTTGAGGATTTGCGGTTCAGTTCCAACAGAATAAAATTCACATAATTGCTGACGAGCCTTTACGACACCGCTACAACATAGGAGGGCACGACTGCACTTCTAATAATTCAAGTTTGGACGTGCAAGTTAGCATGCCATTGGTAAAGTAATGTTTTTATCATATTGTCTAAAGAGTATTGACTGCACGTTTTCGTTTTCGTTATTATCTTCAGGGGGTGGCGGAGTAGCATAGTGGCTAAAGCGTTCGCTAATCACGCATAAGGCGCGGGTTCGATTACCAGCATGGGTACAATGTGTGAAGCCTATTTCAGATTACCCTCCGGCTTTATCGTTAACAAAGTTTGTTTGTTTGTTGTTAAACGCCACATTCAGCAATATTCCAGCTATATTTCCCGGCGGTCTGTAAATAATCGAGTCTGAACCAGACAATCTAGTGATACAATTGGGATACGATGACATGCATCAACCAATGTAGCGAGCCTGTCCACCCGATCCCGTTAGTTGCCTCTCGCGACAAGCATAGTCGCCTTTTACGGCAAGCATGGGTTGCTGAAGACCTATTCTACCTCGGATCTTCACGGGTCCTCGTTAACAGAGGCTTGAAATTATACTCACTCATCCTTTCTTCTAAATCGTAATATAACTGACTCACATTTCTACCCCAGCTGTAGATATTTGTAATTACCTTTGACATATGACGGCCGGAGATTCAACTTATGTGTGACCTTTGCAAAATCCGACAAGAGAAAGGAAGAGCAGGTCACGTACTTGAAAGTTTCTCTAAGTACATTTACAGTGAGTTTGTGATTTGTAAGAAATTTCATATACAGTTGATTTTTATGATGGATTGTTATGAACGTCTAAAGCATTTTCGTCATTGCACGTCAATGTAATTGCATAATTGTCTCGTCTGACTCCGGGTTTCCTCCAACATTAAGCTGACACACCGTGATATATCTGGAATAGTATTAAAAGAGGCGTTCAACCCATCTCACTCAGGTACAGATAAAATATGTAAGGTTCAAGACCCTCAACGTAGTGTATGTTCAAAAACGTCATAATTGACCACTTCGGCATCACGCGTGTAATTTACGCTTTTAACTCCACTTTGAACTGTGTACAATGTATATCCCGATGTGTCAGCACAACGACGGAGGGACCCTGGTTGTAGACGTGTAGTACCTAGGTGAAATCAATGTACACGGGTATGGTGCTGACACACCAAAGATCATAATCGGGGTACATTCGAACACACGACCAGCTGGTATTAACAAGGAGCACATACACCAAATGTTCATATTAGATAATTTTAGTACAATAACATCTATAGATTTGGATAAGCCAAAAGGGGCTCGAGTGGTCATGTTGTCTAAGGCGCCACAATAAGCTGTGCACAGTTGCGTCCCTTGCGCCAGAAACCTATGATCGTTGGTTCGAAACCCGGTTCCCGATAATGTTTCTAGGTTTGTCAGCACCATACCCGCGGATACGTAGGTTTTACTAAAGTGCTGAACGTTTAAGACCTCCATCCCTTCGGATTTTCCTCCCACATTAGGCTGATAAGCCGTGATATTACTGGAATAAGCGGCGTTAACCCAACTCACTCACTTAATTTATGTTTCTGTTTTACTCAAGGCGGCGACAGCTGTGGACAGCCGGCTGATATTGTGTTCATCATTGACACGTCGCGAAGTATCTGGCCTCCATACTTTGCCCAGCAGCTCAAGTTTGTACAGAATGTTGTTAAAATGTTCCAAGTTCAGGGAGACAAAACCAGGGTTGGAGCAATAACTTTCAGCGAGGGAGCTAAATCAGAGTTTGGTTTGGGCGATTTCGAAGATAAAAAATTAGTTTTAGACGTAAGTAATTGCAAAATGAATTGGTTACACACACTGAGGCTGTTTTGATTGGTCGAGACCTTCCGAAAACTTGCCTTTATAACCAATAAATGCACAAAAGCGTGCATTTATACATCATATATGCACGTTTTCCCGGAAGTGACAGAACTACTTTCCCAATGACGTCGACCTTGCTTACGTCTACAAATAGCTTGATTTGGGAACTCGCTTCCGGAATGCCGATTGATTTTTCAAGGGGCTCGAAAAGATAAATTTCAAATTTATATTTCAATTTTTTGGGCATGCATCGAAGTAACAATCAGACATTGTATAAATTGATAACTTATCGCTGCGTCATACGTGTCATACTTGCTTACCAAACTAGCCAAAACTCCCTTGTTTCTTCAAACGTCAAATGTGCCGACACTACACGTCGAGTACCCGGAGACCCATTTCCAAATCCAGACTGTCCCCAGCAGCCCCAATAATATAATGAACATACAGGCTTCTCAATCACTGTCTGCTTCTCGGGGCATTTTGAGTAATTCATATGTCGAAAACTGCCTGTTCTCAATTCACATGAACCAGGCTTAAATGACGACGCTAGCTGCTGCCGCAATGTGATGCTGATATGACGTCATCAATATAGTCCCTTCCGAAAACAAATAATTTTGAAGATTCTCTCGCTCAGGTATAATAACAACGGGGAAAGTAAAACATTTATGTAAACAATATAATATGTGCGTATCAGTGTTTCATCTTGCCAAAACACTCTTTTTGTTAGTTGTATGACGTAGCGATAAAGTATTCGTGTATTCTTGCCTGTTCTACGATGTGCATCGAAATCATCAAATTGTCAACAAACGTGATAAAAAAGAGCAAATACATCAGATAAGAGTCGATTTTGTAATCATAAGAATTGTTTTTTCATTTTCTGTGTATGCATCAAAGTATAACAGTCGCAAATTTTGCATAAACGTGTTCAGCTACGCGATTTTATACAATCTGTGACTCTTATACTTTCACGTACGCACAAAAAATGTTAAACAATTCTCAAGTAAAATCTAAGATCGAAAAGTGAACATTACAGCAAACTCTACGTCTTATATTTAAATCAGCAACAAATGTTGTTTTGTCAATAACCTATATATCAATGCAAACAGCAAATCTACCAAAACGTTTCTCGCCCCACAGAGAGAACTTGATGTCAGTACGACTTGAAGACTTGAACACGGGAGTAGGATGTTAGGATGTTCTTAAGGTTTAACTGCATGTATACTGAACAAAAGAAGTTAGGGGTCTTGACTATTTGGGGGAATATTTCTTGTAGTGAAGAGTGAGCTTCCATTTTCACAAAAATATTCCTTGAAATACTCATAATTCGTCACTCATTTTTTGTTCAGTATATATTGAAATTACTACTGATTTGATTGCCTTTTTTATGTTTGCATGTAGCAACAACAGAACAAATCGTATCCAATGTAAAACATGTTTCCATGTCAAATATATTCTTCTCCCTGTTTATATAGGCTATTGGTGGAATAGAGTTCACGATGGGTGGAGCCACAGATACATATATGGGGCTGCAGATCGTACAAAAGATGATGGCGGATCTTGGCAGAGAAGGAGTTCCTCACATTGCGATTATCCTCACAGATGGAAAATCATCAAATACGTCCCTAACCTTACAAGGTACCACTAACGGTCACACTTATAGGGGACACGGGAGGGGGTGCAGTAGTCTAGGGTGTCGCTGTGCAGAACTGCGTCCTTTAGGCGAGCCAGAAACTATGATGACGGGTTCGAATTCCAGATTCCCCCTGACCAAATTCAAGGTGTGTCCGCACCAGACCATGCTCGTGGTAATCCTTTAACCCCAACGTCACTTCGAGATTACGTCGAATATCAAACTGACTCACAGTAATGGAACTGAAATAATGTTTAAAGCGGCGTTAAACCAAACACACTCTTTTCCTACATTTAAGTACAGTTGATAGTAGATTTGGATAACATAATTTCTGGTCATAACGTCTTTACAAAACTAAGGGATTGTACACAGATGTCCCGAAATGAAAACGAATAGACAAAAGGGGCATTGTATGTCTTGAAGCAATGACAGAAAATATATGCCCTCATAAATGGTGAGTTCCTTTGCAGAATCGGCAAAGGCGAAGGGAGCGGGTATTCAGATCTTCGCAGTCGGTATAGGAAGCAGCGTAGACGCCAAGGAACTGGAGGAAATGGCCAGCTCCCCCGCGGAGGAGTACGTCAAGACTGTCAGCTTCCGGAGACTCGACTCCATCCGATCACTGCTCGCTCTGGCGGCATGTCAAGGTAAAGTTATTTTGGGGATTAGTATAATTAGATACAGCCATTAAAACATGGATGAATTTTCTTTTTGTCGTGGTAATTATTTAATACGAAATTTACAACGTAATCGGGGTAACGGTCTAAGGCGCCGCAATTTGCTGTGCAGAGTTGCGTCCAACGAGCCTGCCAGAAACCTGTGATTGCTGGTTCGAATCCCAGATTCCCTATGCTTATGATTATAGGAATGTAAGAACTATACGTGTGGGTTTCATCAAAGTGGTAAATATCTAGGGCCTGTGTCATTTTTGGCTCTCCCCACACATAAAAGCTGACACGCCGCAATATAACTGGAAAGCTTTTCTACTCGTGATAAACTTAACTCACTCACTACATCATAATGCACACCGTTCTCATGGTCTGATGGGAACTGAGATGGATATAACGCCGCATTTCGTTAAATGCCTTCCATATCATGGTGTCTGAGAGCGATATTTTACTCATACATTTTGTGAGGACATAAGCTTGGTCTTGGACATGCTTACTCAACGTATTAACGGCCATGCTACCCCAACGCCCCCTGGTCTAATGCATCCTTAGTGCTTCGGAAATATAATACTGGTTTTATATGTATATTGGTTTTTTTGACAGTGACAACCCCCGTTCCACCTTCTACAACAGAGGCAACAACGACAACGACACCTACGACCACTACTACTACAACTACAACAACTACAACTACCACAACTACAACTACCACAGGTAGATTCTGTACATTGACATTTTTCGTGATAAAACACTATTTTCATACTATATTATCATTGGCATTGCTTCCATTATCTCCCATTTGTTAGACAGCCAGTTGTTAAACAGTGGAGAAATGGGTTAGGTAAGACAACAATCACAGCTGTAGTGGTACAGTCCTAATTGGATCGTTCTGGTGAGAGGAGAGCTTGACAGAAATTGTTGTTTGTTTGTTTGGTGTTTAACGCCACACTCGGCAATATTCCAGCTACATGACAGCAGTCTGTATATAATCGAGTCTGGACCAGAAAATTCAGTGTTTGACATCATGAGCATCGATCTACGTAACTAGGACAGTCGCCTCTTGGGGCAAGCAGGGTTGCTGAAGACTTATTCTATCCTGGATCTTCACGGGTCAACAGAAACTGATGCTGACCCAAGTTCATCTTTTCATGTGTATATATTTTTGCTTTTTCAGAATTATCTCCTCAGTAGCTTGTTGCTGAATTTATCATTACACTGATATGTGTTCGGAGCATGTTCATTCAGCTTTCTCATTTTGTGTTTGACCGAAATACACCGCAACTTACTTACTTTCTCTAATAGTCAAACAATGACTTATTTTGGTGATACTGTAGAACAATGGAAATAGTTGTATGGACATGCAACGTCTTTATTACAATGAATGCATCATCTAACAAGTTTTCACTTCTTTGAAAACAGTGTAAGTATACACCGAAATGTCGCATTCATTGCAATAAAGTAGTTATATATACATACAACTATCTCCCATGTTCATCATCCCATCTTCTAAATACCTCTTAAAGAAGCATCCTGAAGGTAGGTATACAATGATGACACAACCATATTGATCGTGCTGACGCAAATGAAAGAAAAGTTAGAAGTTAACGTAGCCATTTCACGCCTTAGACTCGGTCACAAACAGCACTATGACAAGGTGTGTCCATCTGGAAATCAACCTAGATCTATTGCTCACTTGTTACTGGAATGTCAAGAGCATGCCACAGCCCGGTTAGATCCGCTATCTGCCGTAGATCTAAAGCCAAGGGATGCAATGGAGGTGGTGGTGAAATTGGGCTTAACGTCACGTCCAAGATTATTGCACTTATACAACGACGTGAATGCACGTATGTGTGTGTGGCTGCTTGTACTAGCCGGACTGGTGCCGATTTATAGTGCTAGCACACTGAGATACCCCACTCAGACACAGTATACTGACTCCGAGCCGACAAGTCCTTGTTTTAGCCCCTTAATGCCGAGTGCCAGACAGGGCAACAACAAGTACCATATTTTAACGTCTTTTGGTATGACGCGGTCGGGGATCGAACCCCGGACCTTCCCTTCTCCGGGCGGACGCTCTATCACTGGACCACGGAGGGGGTCTGGCAAAAGAGAAGGCCAACACTATTTTTGGAAAGATGGTCAGCTACTAGAATGTATATAAACAGAGACACCAATTAACTCTATCAATTTCTACAAATCAAAAATCAAATCATATTAATACGAAAACAGAAATTGTATCATACAAAAACAGAATTCTTATCAGTACTGTAACTCCCATAGATATGTGTAACCTAATAACACATATGAGTCCCAAAGACGAGCAGGTCGGCTGAAATTGTTAAGGCGGAAGACGACCTCTTAAACACATAAAGCAACAACAACATTGATGGTATCAGCACGGCTTGCTTAGTAGATTATATTGCGTCGTAGAGAGGAACTGAATGTCTCTTTTTATGAAAGTCGTCATGTTATTTTCTGCATGGGTTGTTCCTTTAGCTAGTACCTATCTAAGGTGACATACGGCTACTTAGCTGTGCATCCGTCAGGAAATGTTCTTAAAAGCTGTCTAACAACTGGCTGTCTAACCATTGGGAAGTTACCTTGTCATTTGCCAAACTCCCATTTTGTGCATGATGAATTAAATTGAAGAGGGTAGAAATTAGAAAAGGAATACATATAGCAATGCGGATAGAGCTCATTTGAAAATGGAGGGGTAAACTTTGAAACAAACGCGTGGAATAATACAGGAAACAACATACCGAAATGCAGAAAAAACATGTTTATCGACTGTGGTTCATTTATATTTCGAATACTTACCAGTCCTCCCCATGCAATTCTGCAAATATGTTACATCTAGGTATTATCAGGACATCTTTATTTCAGTTCCAACAACGACCACAACCACCACAACTACCACGACTACACCTACAACAACGACAGAGAGTCGTAAGTACGATGACCGAACACAAACTGCCAGACTTGACTCATCCACCAATTATCTAGTAATTAACTGAAACACCCACCAAATGACTCGATAGTTCAATGAGTGGAGTCGAGCTGAGTCAATTACTGGGAAAGATCATACAGATAGTGGTCTAACTATTTATAATTGCCCCGTAAGTAATTCTGATTGCCTGACATATAACTTGTCTACTTGTCTCTCCTTTGTTAGGTGCTACAAAGCTATTTCAGCGTCTGCCACGTTTGTATAACATGAGTAAGCTAATTGAAAGTTCATAACATCAACACAGTACACTTATGTGAACCATTTAAAACGACAAAACGCCTATATTTGAATTTCTTAGTTAGAATCGACAGTTCGAGAAATATCATACAAGTAATAGATTTTCTATGAATGATATGAAGACGAGTCGCAAGATTTGGCAGTTCAGACAACATCAACAGATTTTGTGATGAATGAAATGAAAGATTCAAAAGTTAGCTTTGAAATAGTGAAACCTCAGTGTCTGGGATACATGTATATATTTTCTCACGTCAAATGACAATTGGAGTGACAAATTCAAATAGAGCTCCAATTATGGCAACATGTGTGAATTGGTTAATTGTTTTACGTGTTATTTGTTAAAATGGTATCATTCTGAATTCGCCCCACGGGTGTTTCTTTTGACGCAATATATCAATGTGAAGTTAAATACAAGTAGGTGTCATCGACACCGCTAGGTCATTGATAGTTTAGACCGATGTAATACCTCACATACTGATAATGAATGTATTGACTGAAATATATGACTATTTAGCCATTACCGTTCAATGTATTATATACCACATAGTGAAACATTAACTTTGATTAATTCTGTATGGATTTCGAGCTATTAACAATAAGTTATCACGCCAAAATATTAATTTATCTCTTGACTTACATTTTTCATGTGCCGAACCGCATGCGTATTCCACCTTAATTTGTTTATTGTATTGCGTTATTTCTTTATGACATGAATTATTTATGAGGATACAATTCTTGTTTCCAGTTGATGATATAATGGGAGCAGAAGCAATGAGACGTGAGATGCTTATTATACATAATTGTGATAGTTGAAGGAATAAGATTATGTATTACCGTGAAAGTCATTGTGTTAATTTTCTCGGTAGCAAGTCGTTGGGAACAGCATTAACATCATTTGTCACAATGACAACCTCCACGGTGAGAATTATCAGAATGCCGACTGATCTCGTTGAAAACACACACTGTAATAGACAACATGATCAGGCCTCTTCACCATCTTGTTAAACAAAATCATGAATATACAGAAATATGTTTTTTCTGATCATGATTATATTAATAATACGGTTATCACAAATCGTTTTCTTTAAAGATAAGGGACCGATCATTTGATATTCTGGGCTGGGATTTTATCGAAAGGATTAATTGTCCACCGATAATTCATGAAAAAAATAATAATGCTTCAGACTGTTGAAAAAATTGTCTGCCAAAACAATGACATTCTGGCAAGATAGTTTTGAAATTAAAAAACAATATCTGGTTATGCAGCTGTAGTTGACAAAATATCTTGTCTCTCCTTCCCCACTTCTTATCACGAGATAAGAGAAACATGATATTTCGCTCGTCACATAGAATATCCTATTTATTACATACTTTTTGTGTTAAAATTAAATTATTTCATTTAAATATAAAACATTGAAATGTAAATTCTCCCTACCTTACACGCAGTAAATGAATATTGTTTTTTGCAAAATCTATACAAAAATATATACTAAAGACCCATAAAAGTCTTTATCATAAATTTAGATATGATTATATACAAAATCAACTTCAACCAAAAATAATCCTGAAATCTAGAAGCCGTTGGAAGCGAATGAATACATGACGGTGAAGTCTCTATTGACGAGTTAAATGAGGCATTTACAGCTTACGACGAAATACGTTCATGAAAATAACAAAGGGTAAGAACCGATATTAACTACATACATGTCCACCTGTCATCATTATGACATGTCAATGTGTTACGTAAATAGAAGGGAGATAACTCTTGTAAGAAAATAGTCCTGTCAATGTGTTATATGTGTCAAGTGAAATATCATGTGTTATGGTCCCTGCAATTAAAATATCACTTTTCTCAACTTCAGAAAACTCAGTCTTCACACTTAAGTATATAAAATGTAAAGTATCTGTAAATAAGTGCAACGTTTGTAAAAGAAAGAAAGGTTAAGGTGTGACTCTTTGACCAAATACGTTTTTCTTTGTTGTATGTTAGAAGACTGATCAGACGGAAACGCCATACAGGCCATATCTATATAAAAATCTTAAGGTTACAATTATTAATAGGTTCAGGCCAGTCACCTTTCTATGAGTCTGTATTTGGAGGCCTTTTTCTGCAGTGTGCGGTGGGAAGCCAGCAGACGTCATCTTCGTCCTTGACACCTCCAGCAGCATCTGGATTGACGACTTCCTCGTACAACAAGATTTCGTCAGCGACGTCGTCGACATCTTCGACATCGGTCCATGGAAAATTCAGGTTGGTTTGGTAACCTTCAGCGACAACGCTTCTGTGGCGTTCCATCTCAACACCTTCAAAGACAAGGCTTCCATTCAGAACGCAGTCAAGGCCATCAACTACACTGGCGGAAAGACCTACACAGCCGATGCTCTATCTCTGGTGAAGAGTAGCGTGATGTCTGCCAGGAACGGGTTCCGGAAGTCCGTGGCACACGTTACCATCGTTATCACTGATGGCATGTCCGCAGAACCAGAGAAGACGAAAAGCGTCGCCGCTAAACTGAAAAAGGATGGGATGTATGTTTTTGCAATAGGTAAGAAAATATTGTGTGTGCAAAAAAATAAGAAATTCCAAACTCACGGAAATAGTAACCACTCGTGTCTTTCAATAGTCTGTCTATAACAAATATACATTAGCTATTGTACTGATTTAGGCTGAAATTATTTAATTTGTAACTAAATTAATATTTTGAAACCGTTTTACTAGTCTTTAGTTTTAATACATTGTTAAAAGTTGTTTAAAATATGGTACCAAACTATTCTACTGGGACCACAAAGGTAAACGCCTAAATGATATTGCCTGTTGATGGAGACTGTTTAACGAGGATACCATTTTATTCACATTACAGTTGTCAAAACCATAACATAATGTGTAATGTGTTCTTATTCTGTCAGGAGTCAGTAACCGAACGGACATGCCGGAGCTGAAGGCTATAGGCTCCTCTCCTACTGATCAGTACGTCTATCAGGTCAATGGCTACAATGCTCTGAGGAAACTCAAGAACATCCTTGCCATGAAGACTTGCGAAGGTAAGCACAGTCGTTTCTTTTCAACCATTGCCCGTTTCAGAAAGTGATCGTACTCACATACTTTAACACACTTACGATTGTCGTTGCGTTAAGATCGTGTTGAGGTAGCCCTGTCTCATACAGAATTCTCAGAGGACGTCAATTATCACATATGGATTTTATTGGGAATGAAACTTGTGAATTATGATCCGCTGATTCAAAAAAAGGGGGAAAACGAAAGAAGCTCTTGGTATTGATACTCTGTCGCATGAACAATTATATAGAAAGACTGATGAATTTCTTTTATTATCAAATGTTATAATTGGCAGAATGTAACCCTATTTCCGACGGAGGTAATTTGTCATAAACTTATACCACGACAATTTTCTTTCAGTCGAGTTCATGCAAGGAGACCAGCCCAGTAAGTCTAATTTACCACTGTCTTCTTTGAAAACAATGTCGAGAAGTTAACTGTGTAAACTTGACGCGAATAATACACTTAGATATATAACATGGTAGTAACAGTGATACATATATCACGTCAACAGTGATAGAGTGCGTCATCAGTGGTGAATGTAAGACGAAAACAATAATAATTATGGCATGTGCATTATTTTGACAATGGTGTCTACATTATACCAGCAATCCTTCATATAGTTTTGATTGTATACCCATGTATTATATTCTACTTAAAAGAGGTTCAAGAACCCTTTTTTATATTGACTGTAGTTAACGATCGTCATATGAACTTTAACTTGTTTGAGTAATATAATTGACGTTAATGTATTGTCTCCCTTTTGAAGAAAACATTGTACATATCGTAAACATTTCAATTCAGACCAATGTGCCAGCACAAGGCCAACTGACGTACTGTTCGTCACTGACTTTACCGGAGCTGGGGGCAAGGACGTAACAACAAGCATTGATATTGTGAAAAGATCAGCTGACTCCCTCAACGTTGGTGAGGACAAGATACGTGTTGGACTCGTATCAAATGACTGTCCGGATGTTAAAAACATACCCCTGAATAGGTATTACTACTATGATGCATTTATGGATGCTGTACAGAAAACTAACTCCCAATCACTAACCAAGCTCCTCGTCCAAACTCGCCGGACGCTGACCGTGTCTCGCAATGGGTCCCGTAGAAGTGCCAAGAAAGTCGCCGTTGTGTTGGTGAATGGTCCTATCAAAGACCTAAAATCCGTGGCGAGGGAGGTACAAAGAGCGGAATATAAGAAAGTTAAGTTTGTCTTTGTCAAGTCCGGAAGTGGAGCCAGTCTGAAGCAACTCCAGCAGCTGTCGAGGTTCCCAGTTCTTGATGCCGAGAGTGTAGACTTTAAAAATGACCTGACAGACAGACTCTGTGAAGGTAGGTTATAATCATACATTGAAAAAGAGGTTAAGAAAATACACATTGTGATTTCTTTTTATGAGATGATCTTCAGTAAAAAGCGTGCGAGAAGTTAATAAGCTTATATTCAATGGTAACCTGGTCCATGACCACATATGTACATTCTATAGTTGGAATTTCAAAGTAGCATATTTGATCGATAATTAATAAGTGTTATTTGGCTATTGACATTACATTATTAATGTGAGACTTCGACAGTAACTAAGGGAGTAATTATAGTGTAGTGACTTTCGGAGTGATCTCAAAGTAAAGAGAGTAATTTTGTGAGTTCACACCACTTTCAGCAACATTCCAGCTATATCATGTCGGGGACATTGAACAGGAATTTGGCTTATAATAAGAAATTAAATATTCTTATGTCCCTAAGATTTGTAATTTGGCTAATGGCATAACAAATTTATGTAGAAGTAGGAGTATTTTTAAAACACCCTGCGATGTTCTTTTGTGAAGTTATTTTTCCTCAGAGACCCATGAGTTATTTGGCTGATAACAGGGACGTCCTTCTGCCCTCTAAAATACCGTTTAAAACAGCCAATTAGTATAAACAAAAAAAAAGAAATTAGATATTATTAATTAACTAAATTGGGATTCCTTATTCGTACCTGTATCGTAACAGTTAAGTGGTGATAATATACATCGATTGACAGTTTATATATGTATATCCCATTCTGGAATCGAATGCCAAGATTCATAAATGAATTGATAAATCTCATATCCACATATTATCGTTCCACATATCAGACCACAATCACCCTGGCAATAAATAGCTTATCGGATACACCTGCTCTATACGTCACTTGTCATTATAAATGTTTATGTTACAGTTGTCAGCATGTCGTAAACCATCTCAAGAAGAAGACGAGGAAAACCATTATCGACAGCCATCATCTTGTATATATTAACACTGCCATCAAGAAATCGTCCCGATACTACGCAACTCCTTTATTAGAACAAAAATAACCATGTTTTTGAGGATTTCCCCAAGTTCCCTGCAAACATTGTGTATTAAAAATGCTAACGATTCGGAAAAAGGCTAGTTGTAACTTAGCTCTGTGGTCGTACATTTAAATTCTGTACTGATGTACGGTCATGTGAAAAGATAAAATGACGTCATGAAATGGTAATCTTCAGTTTAGAAAGACATTTTCCGAATAGCATGTATATATCATCACTATTATATTTATGTATTTATGTTTTCACTATGTAGCCATGTTATCGACTGAAACATCAAGATGACGATTCACGTTGGTCCTCGTAAGTACTAGTATTTAAGAAAAACGATTCACAGTTACGTGTCTAAAAGCGTATGATTACAGTTGTTCGTCACCTATTTTTACAGACAAAAAATGAATAAAATTATATATTAATCCAGATATTTCTTATTTGTTTATTCATTGCCTTGGCCTATAAGCATAAGTATGAAAACTAACTGTTTCTGTTATCCGCACATCATATGGGCTCTGAAAGATCATTAAAACGGTGATCGTTTCGGGTTTTACGCCGTTTTAAACCTTAGTTCAGTAATGTCAGCTTGTCCGCCGGAAGTGATGTTTTGTGGAACTTACGATAACAGATGTGACGCGGAACAAGGATCGTCAGCAACACATTGTTAGCATTTCTTAAACAATGGGAATAGTTAGTTTGTAGAATAAGTCGTTTCGATTAAACATACACATATCATAGTTCGTGCACACATATTCTCTTCTCTACAGCTGAATTATGATTTGTGTCTAAATTTTACAATATTTCGGTGTCAAATAGACATTGACAAGGGGTAACATTACAAAGGAGGATTTCTTAATAACAAATTCACGCATCCGACACATTATCATATTTATGATAAAAGTATTTGTCGGGAACAATGAACATTTCAGTTACCCACCTGATTGTCTGATTAAATGCTAATAATCCTCTTTTGGTGCAGCAATACACCCATGCGTTTCCTAGTCAGTGAGTGGATGTTGTAAACCGCAGTCGTAACAAAGATAGACACATGTTCGTGTCTAGGCCAGGCAATATTCTTAGTATTCATGGTTTTGACGGAGAAACCGGACCGCATGAAACATATACACACAAAAGAAACATATTATAAATGAGATATGAGTTATTACGATGAATAAGAAACCGAAAAGCCACAACTCATAAAAATATGTTCAAGCGAATTTTGGACATACAATAGTGACAGCTGAGGTTATATGCAGAGTTGACTGGTTTTATGAACAAAATGCGAACTGCTACTGGTGTTCGCCAGATACATTCAAAGCGTCGAATGTTATACGTTGTGAATTTTTAGCACTCAATTTAGGAATGTGTACCTGTAATTGTCTCTGTATGTTTGATTTCAGGGGGACAGTAGGACCTCAATGTAACATTCTATAACCTTTTAAGACATTCCTATCACAGCAATGGGACGGTCGGGTAGCGTAATGGTTAAAGCGTTCGCTCGTCACGCCGAAGACGCGGGTTCGATTCCCGACATGGGTACAATGTGTGAAGCCCATTTCTGGTGCCCCCCGCCGTGATATTGCTGGAATATTGCTAAAAGCGGCGTAAAACCATACTCACTCACTCACTTACTCATATCCCTAATATTTCTATTCTGACACCATCAACAAAGGCTAAGATTGAGTGTAATTGACGTCGGTTAAGAACCTTAAAATCATGACCGTCTAACATCTCAATATATGTTTCTATGTGATATGTGATTTAAAATGGGGACATGGTTAAACCTAACACTATTATCATCTCGCTTGGTCCTTTGGCTTTTTGGAATATGTTTCTAAACCTATACCCTGCAGTGAACACTTCCAGGTAATAATATGGTCCTTCGCATAATCTACTCGCAAAGCTGCAGATTTCCTGGCATTGTACATGCGGTCAGGATGATTCTTCAAGATTTTCAAAGTTTGTTTGACACACACAATATAAAAACCGCCTCCGTGGTCTAGTGGACAGAGCGTCTGTCTGGAGTGTGGAAGGTCGTAGGTTCGATGCCCGGCCGCGCCATACCACCAATGGTGCTTGTTGTTACCTGCCTGGCGTTCGGCATTGAGGGGCTAAAACAAGGACTGGTCGGGTCGGAGTTAATATACTGTTTCTGAGTGGGGTTTCATGTTGAACTGCGGCATGGTATTTCAGTGGGCTAGCACTATAAACTCGACATTAGTCAGGACTAGTAAATGCACCCACACGTGCATGTACGTCGCTATATAAGTGCAATAATCTTGAACGAGACGCCATTACACTTCACCGCACCTCAAAATGTAAACAGATGGGAATAATTTCCAAAGGGACGATCAAAGATTTGTTTTCATTTTTAAAAAGCAACCCATATTGCCAAGGGTACTTTTGTTTTAGAATCACAGAATTCGTGTGTACATGCTGTAGCAATACTTGAACACATTCGCGAAATACCCAGTGATGATTGTTGAGGAGTTCCAAACGTATTTGAATCTGGTGCTACCTGGGTAACTTCCTCCAAGGCAGATCTGTACTCCAACAAACCGAGATGTGAGGCTACTTTAACCTACATGACTATAAACTGATCAACTTGAGAACACCCATCTGCGCCTAGGGAATCTCACCCAGGTGTCTTTTGATATCAAATATATCAACACGAGTTGATAAAAGTCGGATTTTTCCCACTGTTATCAACGAGTGTTGATATATTTGATATCAAAGGACCCGAGGGTGAGATTTTATTTATCATCCAACATCATTATTCCAACTATTTCAGTTTGTACACAGTAATAAGCAGTGTCTTAAGCGTAAAAAGTACTGCTATCAGCTTCAGTAGCAGAGCCATTAGTGATGTCATTTGATTGTGACGTCATGGTAACCAATGAAGTCACAATAGTCTGCAAAGCATTGTGATGCAATTTCATTGCAGCGATATCTACAGTGTAGATATCGCTTGATCTCACCCAAGCGATATCTCCTGTGGGAGCCAGTTTTGGATGATAAAAACTGATCAACTCGAGAACACCGATCTGCGCCTAACTGGGACTACACTGGGGCTCAGCTTAGTGAAATAAGACGTGTATGAATGATACCAAAATATTATTATTAATTTCTCGAGGGAGAGATGAATAACAGTTGCTTGGAGTGTTTGGAAGTCTTGTTGAAAGTACTCCGCTCACAAGTGGTCCTAAACATGAGAGTAAATGTAATCACAAATGAGGAGGTTGGTTTTATGTTTACAGTGACGTGAGGGTGAGGATGCATCACCCCAGTCTGTAGATTTGGCTCCAGGCTCACCTGTGGGTGACTGCATAAGTAACTAACCATGACGTCGGGGCACCATGACACGTGACAAGGTCACACATTGCAGCACATCTTAAAGCGACAAAACCCTTTTCCATAACCATAGGAAATGTCACTACCTAGCTGTTAAGACAAGTGTGGAATACTCGAGGAACTATACTGCCTCGGTCATCCCCCAGGAATCTGCTTGTGAATCAAATTGAAATCTTAGGAGTTATCAGTTCAGAACAATCTTGTTACGTATCTTTCTGTCTCAAGATAGAATCTTATAAATAGTAATCTTATTCTTTATCTTATCACAAGTAAGGTGTTATATTGTGATATATATTGGCATGTGTGAGTGAGTGAGCTATAATTCAAAAACATATCGGCAGTATTGTAACCCAAACAGGTTATAATGTATAAACATATAAAAAAAGTGTCGATAATAGACAGTACAATTACTAGATTATCACAGATTTTATTTAAAACTAGTATTAGAGCATTAAAATGTCATAATTATTATGAGAATGTACAATATAAAACCGGGCTATAGATCGCTAGCAACCAAAGGTAGATCACCATTATATGGACTACATTCGCATCATGTAGGTGTGATATTGATCAATCACTGTTGTAGTTTTTGTCGATGTTCAAAGTATAAGAAACCATCGTTTGGTAGTACAACACTATCAATTATCTTTTTACATTTGATAACTCGGTTATCTTCCAACCTCTGAAACTTCAAAAGCTAGTATTCTAATTATTGTTGAGATGTATATCAGGTGATACAGTCAGCCCTTGTGGCTATTGCATTACATTTTGATAGTAATGTCATTTCTAAAAACAAATATCCTTCCAAACTTTTAAATTCTCTAAAACCATATATGTCATTGTGACTAGTGTTTATGCCTTATCTATCCAAGTCGCAGATTAAATCTTTCAAATATTTATCTGATTGATCACGGCATCTTTCTCTACCAGATCGTTGTTAGATAAAACTGTCAAAACACATGAGTAATGAACAATTGTTTTTGTGTTATTGCTAGAATGTCACAAACACTGTTATACTTAAGCGACACAAAGTGTGCAGTTTGGTAATATTTTGAACAATCTTACTACATGCTTCACAGTCAAATCAACTTGGATACCTATGATGAACAGATCATCTAAACACTTATCGGCACATCGCTGGGAATTTACATGTACAAATTTGAATTGTGTATATAAGCGACCAAATTAATTCGTTGTAATGACTTGTCCAATTTAGAACAAGAGATTGACCAACCTTTACATATGACACTGTTTGTCAAAATATCAGAAATCGTGATGAAAGTGTCCGACATCAAAGTGTGTGTTTGCTATGGCAATACATAATGGTGGTATTGTCTGTCCTACCATGGAAGCACATGCCATTAGACATGACGAGTTCCAGCTCTGTGAAAACCTATGGACACTATAGAAATCAAATTAATATATTAAGAGCAAGTTCGAGGTGGGACTCGTTGATAGAAAGGGAATGTATATTTTTCCATTAGTGTGTTCAAATAATCGTTGATAGAAAGGGAATGTATATTTTTCCATTAGTGTGATCAAATAATCGTTGATAGAAAGGGAATGTATAGTTTCCATTAGTGTGATCAAATAATCTTCGTTTTAGAGAACTAACCTACTGATAACTATATTTCAAAAGACATCAACTACATTGCAAACGACTATTTGTCTGTCATATGAATGTGAGTTGTAACACTATATGTAGGCGATTGATTTTTTGTTTGTTTGTTGTTGAACGCCGCACTCAGCAATATTCCAGCTATATGATGGTGGTCTGTAAAAAACGAGTCTGGACCAGGCTATGCATTGAAAGATATCATGAGTATCGATCCATGCAATTTGGATACGATGACATGCATCAATGAAGTCACAGAGCATGACCACCCGATTCTGTTAGTAGCCTCTTCCGACAAGCATGGGTTGCTCTTCGAAGACCAATTCTAACCCAGATCTGCACGGGTCAGGCAAGTGATAGAGCTCATGTGGTTTTCTCATGTCATCATGCCACCCTATTTTTTAAGAAACTCATGGAAGGCCATATATGTTTAATATTTTCGTGAAACCCATCGTCACGATCTGGTCGATTCTGTGATTCGAACCCACGATAAGAAAATCAGGAGATAGTGGCACCTATCTGATCAAACTTTTTACATAACGCATTAAAACCAAGGTTAAGTATAACAAGGAATCGCCTTGATATTTGCTGACAATCACGTTCAATCTTAATTAAAATATAGCGTTGGTTCATATGTTAATGTTTCTGTGTGTTGGTTGTCCTGTATTGCATCCCATTTTACTGCTTTTTAAATCTATATCATCATATGCTGTGATATAAAATGCTGTGAGCCATGTGCCTGTCCAAAAGACACTGACAAGTGAGCTTTTCATACATACTGCATACAGAATATTAGCATACATACAGCTCTGCAGTCACGCCAACACCAGATTCCATCGTGCGTGAAAGGAAACTCATATGAATAGATCACTTCAAATTACTGTTGATACGCGGTGTCAGCGGAAAGGCTATGCATGTTCTGCGGCGCTACCTGTCGCACCCGCCACTCACACAAGTGTCCTAAAAAATGTAAGGTACAGCGAGTAAAGAAGTATTTAAACTCTAAGTAAAAGAGCGTGGGATAGCATTGCGCTTTATTCTGATAAGCGACAGTTATATTCATAATGTTTCTCTGACTGTCTACCAGAATATTTCTGTTTTGACTTGCCCATGCATTTGAAGGTGAAACCTTGATTGAAACATTTGTCTGTTTGCATGGGATTTGAATAAGAGCAATAATAGAAGTACATGTAATTGAGGAATGTACGTTATATGGTTAATTGTTCAACATGAAGGTGAAATTCAGGATTTGAGATGATTCTAGGCTTATTCTTCTTTTGGGGCTGAGAGTTTTTTCATGACCTTAACCATACATTTTCCAGTCAGTTTTGGAAAAGTGGTTAGCCTCGGTACTTGACTATAAGATATTAGATGTGTTCATGTCAACAACAAAAAACACCCCTGACAGCACTTCAAACTCTGGAAAAAATGGTGCAGTTGTTGAAACGATTAACAGGAAATCAAGACATAAGTAAGCGATCAAAATGTTTGGCGAATACACACCTCCGGGTAATAACTACCATACATGGAAAACAAGAAATACCCCGGTTATGATCACTTAACAGTGGTCATTATTGTCTTTCGAAAAAACCAACTGATTCTAATGACCCCACTGTGTTAATTGAAGATTATGGGTTGATATATACAAGCTGACTTAAAATCGTCAATGCAAAATGAAATTAATGAAAAAGTTACCTTATTGTACTCTTAAATAGATGTGAGAATCAGGAAATTCAAACTAAAATCACAAGTTCATGCGAATATTATTGTTACATTTTCTTCACGATTTTCACATGACGACGAGAGTTTCAGTCGTCACGAACGTCAATGGATGGGGGCGTCCCTATGGTGATATCAATGCACCTCCTCAGCATTCCCGCTCAAGACAACGAAAAGCAATGGGTGACACACTGAAGTTAGTGATGACAAGAGCCTACACGTGATGTTACATATGGTCTTCCTCAACGCATATCATCCTCCGTGAGATTCCTGAACATGTTGCATTGACACGAAGTGTCTGGTGGCTTGAACTGTACAACCACAATTATGTAGGTGACCAGTGTTCCTACAATCTGAAAGTGGATGAAATGGCTGTAATGAGTATCTTGTCTTCCTTCTTCCTAAATATATTAAGGTACACATGCATGCTATCAATTTGTAAACAATCACAAATAATGTAATTATGTAATTTGCATGTAGCCTAGTGGTTAAAGCGTTCGCTCGTCACGCCGAAGACCCATGTTCGATTCCCGACATGGGTACAATGTGTGAAGCCCCTTTCTGGTGTCACCCGCCGTGATATTGCTGGAATATTGCTAAAAGCGGCGTAAAACCATACTCACTCACTGACTCGCTCGCATTGGGATTCTACATGTTACTCTGTATATTTATATGACTGAGTGATTCCTCGCTATTTCCATGTCATGCAATAGATATTATGACTCACCCCAAGGAGTGTTGGCATGGTGATGGTGAAGAGGCCATGAATGTTGTAGCCGATACTGTCTCCCGTCAGTCTTGACACAAACAGGTTCATCTAAAGTACAAAAGCAGTTCTAATGAGCCTACAACCATGCACACCATGACAGGCATGATTAGTATATGGTTGGCAACAAGGCAGCATAATCTGTCCGTGAAATAGATGCCCAGTGACGATAACGATATCATGGGTCCAAATACCAAACATCGTAATTATCAATCGCCACTTAACATGCCATATCTCTTCCGGTTTAAAATAAGTTCCAAATCACCTAAAGTATGAAAAGAGGTGATCAGATGGACTGTTGCAAGTCTCAGTGACCTGGTTGATTGCACGTCATTACCCCAACGGTGCTGATTGTTACTCACAAAATCACTGGTCCAGACCATCGGATAAGAGGCCGGCACTTTATAATTAGAAGATTGGAGTGTATAGCCAGACAGCTATCAAAGAAAACATATCAGAAAGCCATGGCCAGTAAACGTGTAACGTATTAAGTTGCTAAAGGTTACTCTCTGTTGTAAACATATATGTTTTGATTAGCTTCCTACAATCAAAGTATCCTAGATATACGAATACAACTTTTACCTAAACACATAAAATATATTATGTTTACTCTTCTTTGAAACCATCATGTGACGAGCAAAGAGCCTAACTCTGTTGGTTCACATTAGTCTCACACTATTAAGCCGAAAATCACTCGAAGAAATTGTTGTCATGGTATAAATGTACAACGGTAAAACATCATCAAGTACGATTGTTACATTATATGAAAAATACAGAAGCAGACCCATCACAGAATTTCCATGATGCCCCCCAAAACGTGTAACATTCACAACCATTCCTTAACTTGCTTGGACGCACTTGCTTACTTCACTACGCAATGTATCAATCTTTTATCTGTCTCAACATGAACGTTATGTTTTACGGTCTGGTTGTCACTTCCTGGTTTGGAACGAAAATGTTAAATTTTGTAGGATTTGAAACAAGAAATTCTCCTTCCTCTACTTTGTCTAAAGAGGAATGTAGTGTGGACTTATGGCCTCATGTTCCTATGATGTCTGTTTTAATATGCGTGTTTGATAACAGAGCATAAGATACCATGTATTTCATCAGGGAAATTCATATCCTGGCCCAGTGCCCATGAGGACTTCCTTGTAGAGATTGTTGGGAAGAAACTTCAGAATCCACACAAGCTTTGCGCTAAAACAATGGTTTAGGTCAGGAAATGTGAAGTTCATAAGTCATATGGGATAGTTGGAAGTATTTTTATTCACAATTGGTTTTATTATGACCTTGACCATTATGCAGTTGTAAAATCGGGTGATATTTGAAGGTCTCGAAATGTAATTTGCAACTTTTAGATTAATAGGTCTGAAGGATAAAATAATGATGACTTGAATATTAATCATATTAACTTTAACGAAAGTTTGAACTAGATTTGAACAAAGTTTTGGTGCCAATATTAAAAGAGTGAGTGAGTATGGTTTAACGCCGCTTTTAGCAATATTCCAGCAATATCACGGCGGGGGACACCAGAAATGGGTTTCACACATTGTACCCATGTCGGGAATCGAACCCGGGTCTTCGGCGTGACGAGCTCGAGCGAACGCTTTAACCACTAGGCTACCCGACCGTCCCAATATTAAAAGAAACGTGTGTCAGATGAAAAATAATATGTTTCATGTCATTTAGTCAAAAAAGGGAGAAAAAACATTTTCACAGTCATAAATAATTTCAATTGACCAATGTACAAAAAAATATAAATGGACGGGAACAACGTAAAGACACTTGTTTTTTTATCAATGGACGTTTCATGGATCCAGCAGTTTCTAAAGCGATTACGTACACACGTAGACAATGATGGACATGGGTCATCACATAACCCACTCGGGACTGAACATAAATCAGGTGAACTTAACATGTAGCTCATGCAGCATTTAACAGTCTCAAGCAGAATGCAGGAAATGTGTATCTTTTAGGATCTCACAGGAACAGGAAAATGTGTCATCCAGTCATTGGTATGACGTCCCTAACCCTCTAGAAATTCCCGACCGATCTGGAACTAGCCACAGAATGTAGCATGTTTCTACGTTTAGATCAACATTAGACCGCTGTTACATTCAACTAACTGAAAATCCTTTCATCACAGTTACTTTTGTCCTTGAAGTTTTGTTGTTGTTTTTGTTTGTTTTGTGTTTTGTTTTGTTTAACGCACACCCATCGATACTCAAGCATAAGGACGACGGCCTGTAAATACTCGAGTACTGAAGCAAACAACTCAGTAATTGATATGAAAAGCAACGATCAACGCAGGGTACGATGCTATCAACCAATTCACCTATCCTCACCATTCACACCAACTGATCCATCTTACGACCAGCCTAGGTTGCAGGTGACAGTCTGTACTCCATTTACTTTTCACTATTCTTCAGTCATAAATAGAAATGTGAAACTTTCCTGGTATATAACCATGATGGCATAATCAACCAGTATTGTTCTAAACATGCTCTAAAGGAAGTTTTAAAGTGATAAAAAAATGAACTCTCTTGTGTCTTGGATAAGCATGGAATTAAACAAAGTGCCTTAACCTTCATCTCTGTAGTAAATATATGCAGACGGTTTTTGACAATTGCCAAACAAACTCATAACGCACAATATGTTTAAGAAGATAATAAAAAATGAACAATGTCTGCTTCACTGCAAGTAAAAAAAACACCTGTTTACTATATTGATAGTTTTTTGAAATGATGTATTTCAACAAATTAATGCAGCAAGCAACACATTATTATTCTGATTGTACTGCTCGTAATATTTTCAATTCCCGCATGCATCTTTCCGTTCTGAGAAAATATCCTACAGCCACCATTGTTTTGTTCTTCACTCAAAGAGGATGACAATCCAAGATCAGTGTAAAGCAGCGCTAATGCGTCTGATTGGAGTGTGACAGGCACTGGTGCTCTACACGATCCAGCTATGCGGAGTGGGTAATATGGTCTGGGTATCATATTTTGCCAGAATTTCTACATTTTGCCGAGGCGTATTAAATGTAGTGAGTGAGTTAAAAGTGTACGTCACATCGGCAATATTCCAGCCATATCGTAACGAGACAAAATTACACATTGACCATATATATATATTTAGAGTGTATAAAATCATGCATCGAATCACAGTACAGTAACTAAAGTATCACAGGTTGTATTTTAAACTAGTTTATGAGTATGTAAAAGATTAAACTATCAATTGATAGCACAATATAAATAAGGGCTATAGATCGCCAGCAACCAATGTAAGGCCTTTGGGCGATTGTAGTCAATTTGAGCCATTGATTAAAATTCACAAATATTCTGCGATTAAAAGCTATGGTATGAATAACAAACTCTCAATGAAATGATCTTACGATACCCTCTAAATAATTTTATGCTACTCCAACCCCCTTTCAAGGCGCAGCCACAAACAATCTCAGTTAAGAACTAGACAATCCCATTTTGTAAAAAAAATAACTATGTACATCAAAATTTAACAATTATTTATATGTCTTTTAAAAACACCAATGACTATATGAGAAATCTGATTAAAAGATCCTTTATGTATGAAACCGTGAAATAGTTATCCCTTGTGATGACTAAGACACAGTCAGACAGGACATGATCATTGACCGTGATTATTCAATCACAAGGGATTACAAAACGGAGGATCCTCACGTGTCAATAAATATTGATGCGTATATTTGTTATGGCCAGATTATGTTTACAATATTTATATATTTGAGAGCTGTTAATAGTGCCATTGATTCTGCTGTATAAACCGTGAAACTGTCATTTGGTAATCTAGATGATATGGTTCTGGATCTATTGACAGAGGTGCTAGCAACTGCGTCACCATCTTTAGATCCATCGGTCAATATGACTTTGTAAATATTGTAGACACTTCTTAATTGATGATATTCCTGCGGATACATTAATTGATTAGTGCCTGAGTTCTTTAGTTTTGCTAATGAAAGACAAATCGGAATAACTATGGGCTTACCAGTTGCTGGGAGATATGTTATTGATTTTAAGCAAAAATGTCAAGCTCTATTCTTATTTCAAGGGTTGGAATAAGGGATTGTTCCTATGATACAGATCCTCATAAGTGTAAAAGAAGTCTGTTCCTCACTTTGTTTTCAAAAGTGGAGGACAATCTTAGCTAAGTGTTCAACTGTGCTTATGATATGGTTTATTGGACGATGACCGGCACTGGTGCTCTGCGCGGTTCAGCTATGCAGTGTGGGTGATAAGGCCGCGGTATCATTTTACATGATTTTGTCTTGGCGTAATAAGGTATAAGCGTAGTTTCACATATACCTTCTGTAGTCCTGTGCCAGAGAAACGTTCTTTGTCAAGCCTCCATACGTACTGTAGAGTCCCGTGAGCCTGCAACGAGAACCGTAACGATGTACTGTACACCAATATGTACACCTTTCAAGTCTATTATAGAGTTGTATTCCATAGCCCTACAACCATCCATTGACTGTGCGTTCGAATCGCGGATTGGTGCTAATAAAGATTTTACCGTATCATACCAAACAGTACCAATGAAACAAAAACGTCTGAGATCTGCATCATTCTCACATTAAGCTGGCAAACGACACTCACTCACTCACAATTTCTGATATGATAATCATTACCTACAGGCACATCCTTAAAATATATTAAAAAGTAAACGAAATCCTTACCTTTGAACTGACCAGTGCACCAACGCGTAGTATCAGACCAAAACCCAGAAGGGTGCACACGCACGCTGTACTGTAAGCAATCACTTCTACAGAATTAACTGGATTGGATAGAATGGAATATACCATGGTACAGATCACAGGCAAAGTCATGAATACACATGTGAAAATAAAGTGTTGCACATAGTTGTTGATATCCTCAAGCACTTCAGTTATCCAAACATGATGAATTACCAAGGTATTGAACCTGGCTTCAGTGTCTCCACGCTGACTGTTTGCAAGTTCCTGGAATTGTGTGTCAACACGGTTAAATTCTTGCCACAAAAACAGCGAAAGAAAATGTACAACAATAAAACTGCTTTGCCACTGAATCTCTAAACATGTGTATCCAATGGACGTTATAACTAATCCAACTGATTTCCAAGGTTCCATAAAGGTATTGGTAGGATAGATATCGTCCCTAACTTCAGGATAGCCCATCGTCATAAAGTATTTTAGTGGAATTAGTACTACCGCGAATAAAGGAACGACAATCACCATTGCTCTCAACTTCCTCATCCACTTCTTGAATCCATCGCTGAATCCGTACCGTTCCTCATACTTGCAAATACGAACATGCAACAGTTGGAATGCTTTTGACAGAAAGATACTGTAGACGAATGACAAGTACACACCTAGTAACATGACAGTACAGAACGCCAGTAGACGTGCAACAGGTTTAGAGTCAATTGCAAAGTTGTAGGTAGCAATGAAGAAGAAGACAACGCTTGTCATTAAAACTATTTTAACAAATATGACGTACACAAGTTTAAGTCTGTCCCACTTTGTCATTTTCTCTCCAGGGTTCACGCGACGAAAGATTCCTCCGAGACAAGAAATGACACGCAAATATTTAAAGAATGAAGCTGAAACGGGGGACAGCTCGACTTGATTTTGGGTTGGTATCTCACCCGTAAAGTGTTTTACTTTTGCGAACATTTTATTTGATAAGTAAGAATAAGTTGATTCCAAATACTTACGCGCCAATTATCACAAAATCAATGTGCGAGTAAAAATGATTTTACACCACTTGTATCAATATTCCATGACTATCACATCATGAGCAGACATCAAGAATAGGCCTCTTAAAGTTTGTAATGTACACGTTTCCAATTGTCTGTTCTAAAGTCTCTCACAATCGAGGATATACCTTTGTTCAGTGATGTCGTTACCCGCGCTATGTGAATATTGAAGAAGATGAGCAGATTCCTGTTCCAATTTCTGACAGCTTGTGTCAGTGAAAACACCAACGCTTCAAGTTACTTCCGTCTGTACATATAGCTGAGTATCCAGTGAAGGTTTCCTATATTATGTCCAAATTATCAAGCACTCTCCTTCAAGTTTTGCGGATCACAGTCTATGATCTGCTTTATTTCATAACGTGTACAAGAACAAATAATATTCCAGTTCCAATAATTGTCCAGTCTCTGAACAAGATAATCAGTTAGTCGTCATCTTCCTTTACGTGCGCTTACGCGAACAGAACACTATCAAAAACATTGTTCCTGCACACTTTCATCTGAATCCAAACCATTGTCTGTTTATGTCTGTCCTGATAACGGCGCAGCAGGTGAAAATATGCACTTCGTGGCGTGTGTTAGTTTTCTGCAATCGCAGTGACATGATACACCAATACATGCCTGTTCCATCATGGGATGCATTTCATCCGAATGGAATGCATTATGACTGTTTAAAAGCAATTTAAACACAACACTAATTGGTTTAGCAACTGGAAATGGGTCTTGTGACCACTCCCCAACATTGTCCATGTTAACTAATGTAATTGGGATTATTATCTACGTTCAATCAATACTGTTTTGTTTGCTTCGTGTTGGTTCAACAGTTCTGGTGTCAGAGACAAATGATCATGTAATTGATGACATTACCGAGCGTGAATCTTGTTAACCCCTACGCAAACGAAGTTTTGCGGGCGATAGAGAAACAGGCTATGTTACATCTTGTTGCCTTCCGCCATAAGTATTCGGAAAACCGCACAACATAATGTATGACTGCACGCTCATGCGATTAAAGTTTCAGCGGGCTGTAATATATTCTTTAAGAAATTAAGATAACATGTAGTTGATCACGTGAGAGTCAAATGGGCGTAGTTGTGACACCATGTGTCGTCATGAAGTCCAGTGTAAAGTACCCACTTGGTAATGATGAAAATTCCCGAAACCTGTCAGCAACGGGTGAGCAAGATGTGCGCAAAATCGTCGACGCCACTAATATTTTCTGTGAAGGCAGGAAAGGAACTTTCTCTGAACAAACTGTGAAGTTGTGGCCTCATAATTTGGGGATGCATCACAAAGTTGGTACAATGTCACATTTTGTTCAACTATAAATATTCGGAAAACCGCACAGCATAATGTTTGCAGTTAAATTTTCAGCGTGCGGTAATATTTGTTTAAGTATTGCCCTGAAAAGTAAGATAAGAAGTAGTTGATCACGTGAGCGTCACGTGGACGTGTGTCGTCTGCTGTGTGGATCGCATGAGCATAAACAAAAATAGCACGGGAATCTAGAGAATAATTATCTGCTGGCAAAGTACAGATCGCATTATTGTTCAATGCAGGAATAAGATGTTCTGACATCATCAGATCTTTGTTGGACCACCATGAAATTCAGCGTGAGGATGCCAGAGACATTATATTCACTTGGCAATGATGAAAATCAACAGACCAGTTAAAGTTAAAGGTGTGTAAAGAAATCGTCAAAATTGTGGCCTTATGATTTGGGATCCAACACGTATCACAGTGTTGCTACACTGACAGTTGTAGAAGGCTCCATTTTTGCTATCATCATCAAGTATATTGATATTCAGAATGACAAAGTTTGGCCTGATGTTGTTCGTCATTACCCCGATGATGACTACATATTCCAGGACGATAACGCACCTGTGCATCGGGTTCACGTGGTAAAAGAATTTCGCCGTGACAAACTATCTTACAAGGCCTGTATGCTTGAAACAACAAGTTGCAGCAAAATGTTCATCATCCATTAATAGTGTTGCCAATTGCAACGTGAGTTGCGACGTGTCTCGAACAGCTTTATCTGTTGCCTGCGATTGTATGTATCTCTTTCAACTGTGCCCATGCACAATGTACGCAATATAAATGAGAGCTCAATTAAATTAGGCTGTCAATTAAATTAGACAGCGAATGTGACTTCTCACTGGAAGCGCTGCCTAGTCAACCCGACAAGAACTTTTTTCTGTGAATGTGAACACCGCAACCTTCTGCATTATGCAGATTAATTGTCAGAAAGGTTGGATTCCTGGCAGCAAAACCGGATATGGTCCTCTGTGTCAAAACGAAGACGGTAATAAAATGATCGAGCCATGCCATCATATCCTTAAGATTATGTGTTTGTGCCAAGGCTTGGCATCCACTGACAATGTGTTGGACAGTCTCATTAAATTCATTACATAATCTACATTTCATATTCACATTTAATGCAAAATCACACATTGGCGGTTTCGAGTTGGAAGTGACTGGTCCTGAGCGGCAAACAGAAAGCCCTCTGTTTCACTTTTCAGGCCAGACGACTTCATCTAAGCAAAGGACTCTGCGGAGTTGCTGATCATCTCAACATTCTGCACGTAAACTCGATGCAGTGGTCGTTCATTAGTACAGAAACATTAACAAAATCAACACCGACATTGAGATTATGTCCCACATCCTTGGCTCGTTTTAGAAAACTGTGGAATGCCTTTCTTTCACCATGAGTCTTGACATGCTTCACAAGAGGATCATCAGACAAATAAATGTGTGCAAGAGTCACCCTGAATTTCTTGTTTCGTCCAATCAACAACACCAAAAGAATACGAAAAGACGGGCACAGCATAAGTATTTGTGGCTTTGAGCGAGCGCTCTGAGCTCCAGATTTTCTTTAGTAGTAGTAGTAGTAGTAGTCGTAGTAGTTGTAGTTGTAGTTGTAGTTGTAGTAGTAGTAGTAGTTTCCCCCTGGTTATGACCAATGTCCGAACTAAGCGCTGCTCTCAGAGTTTCACTTTGAGCTAACCTAAACGTTACTCTTCGAGGTATTACAACTTTTAGCAAGTTAAGAGTATTCTCAAGACATTTCTGAGAATGCCTACCGCCCCTGATAGCAGTGCTATACCTCCAACATTCAACCTGAAACAATTGCACAACTCTTTGCAAAGCGGCGTTCACCCAAATTCACCAACTGACTTTTATTTAACCATATTGTTGTACTGTCTTTATCCAGGAAAATCAGCTTCGGTCAAAGACATCTAAAATCAGCCTTTTTGTCACATTTTAGTCCGGCATATACATCGATAAAGAGACGAAGAGTCCAAAACATGCAAGTGTTGAAATGGTGAGGTCAGGGGAGGTGAAATGGGGTTTTAACGCCACGTTGAAGATTATTGCATGATTGTGCGTGCTTGAATGTGTTCCCCCATCTGCTACAATGTGTATATAACGTAACATATGATACATTGACCACATCAAGCCCTGATTTTTTGCACAACCTTAAAACTAATTATCTTTGGCTCAAACAAGAGACAAATGTAGAACGATCCATTGAATACTACATATACCGGACACCACCATCTGAATAAACACAAAAAAACTAGGATAAACGAAGGTTATGTCATTACAGTTGGAATGTGTTTATCGTCTAAAGACGGCTTGTTCCCTGTTCGTCAACATCCCATTTTGCGAACAGCCTTACAACTACAAGTCGGGGTCTACTGGTTGTGTGTTCAAGGTCTGGTGATCATGATTGTACCTCTCAACCAGGTAGTTGAAACACACAACAAGACGAATAGACAGATTGTAGAGAATTTGTCAATTTTAATGATATAAATATGAAATAATAATCATTCTATTTTCTTCAGATTCACATTAGAACTGATTGTATATTACGCAGTAATTATGCAAGTTTTTTTGCTTTCCTGGTAGTTATCACACAAAAGCCAACAGTAAAAGAGATCAAGAGACAGTAGATGATCATATAATGGATTTTTATCTTTCAGTGGTTTCTTGTGAAAATGTTCGGTTTGTGAAATGTGTTGGAAAGAACAACATATAAAGCAACTTTAATTGAAGTATAACATAAGTCACGCCAGGTGTAATGACGCAATCACGACACATGTAACCACACTTCAAATTCTACTAATGGTGCAGTTGTTTAAACGATTAACAGGAAAATCAAGACATAAGTAAGCGATCAAAATGTTTGGCGAATACATATAGCTTACCAAAAATGGAAAACAAGAAATACCCCGGTTACAATCACTTAGCGGCGGAATTATTGTCTTTCAGATAAACAAACTGATTCTAATGACCCCACTGAGTTAAATAAAGATTGTTGGGTTTATTTACACAAGCTGAATTAAATTCGTCAATGCAATATGAAACAAATGAAAATATTAAGTTATTTAGATTGTTGTGAATAATAAGTAACTCAAACCAAAACCATGTCCTAGCTAATATTTTGGTGACATTTTCTTAGAGATTTTCACATGACGACGCGAGTGTCAGTCGTCATGCATGTCATAGGCGTCCCTATGGTCATATCAATGCACCTCCTCAGCATTCCCGCTCAAGACAATGAGAAGCCTAGGACGACACACTGAAGTAAGTGATGACAAGAGCCAACACGTGATGTTACATGATGTCTTCCTCAATGCATATCACCTTCCGTGAGATTCCTTAACATGTTGCATTGACAAGAAGTGTCCGGTGGCTTGAACTGTACAACCACAATTATGTAGGTGACCAGTGTTCCTACAATCTGAAAGTGGATGACATGGCTGTAATAAGTATCGTGTCTTCCTTCTCCCTAATACGGAACATAGTGAACTGTTCATACACAGTATCTGGTTTATGGTTCGTTATGACCGGAATAAGAGAAGTATGTAAACGATAAAAGGACAGTAATGGAAAACAATAGCAATAATAATAATAATAATAATAATAATAATAGTAATAATAATATAATTACATAGAAAATGTTATAATAGATATCAATATAAGTAAATATGTAAACAAATTATGTAATTTTCATTTGGATTCTACATATTACTGAATTATATGACTGAGTGACTCCTCGCTATTTCCACGACGTGCAATAATAATATGACTCACCCCAAGGAGTGTTGGCATGGTGATGGTGAAGAGGCCATGAATGTTGTAGCCGATACTGTCTCCCGTCAGTCTTGACACAAACAGGTTCATCTAAAGTACAAAAGCAGGTTAAGACTTCAAATGAGCCTATGACCATGCACACCATGACATGCATGACAGTATATGGTGGGCAACAAGGCAGCCTTATCTGTCCGTGAAATAAATGCTGAGTGACGATAACGATAACGATATCGCGGTTTTCAATCACCACTAAACATGCTCTTTATGTGCCAATTTAAAATAGGTTCCCAGTAACCTAAAGTATGCAAAGAGGTGATCAAATGGTCTGTGGCAAGACTCAGTGACTTGGTCGGTTGCACGTCATGACATTTACTTTGATGATCACCATGACCTTTTACAATCTTCAAATTGGCTGATATTTGAAACTCTCGAAAT